TTAGGGGGGCTCTGCTATGTGTCTCCGCCACCTTCATATCCGGTCACGGGGGTGGCAAGCCACTCCCATCTGGTCACATGCACGGCAAGCCACTCCCACAAAGGAAGCCACACCCATAGAGTAGGTTCGAACAATTTTTGAAACCCACCACTGGTCCTTGAATATGATGTAAACTTCTTTTTTAAAAGGCATCTTTGGTTTGCATTCAACACACGCAATGTTCTGATTGCACCACAAACGCAGTAGTCATCCTTACCTTTCACAGAGGCACTGAGTTTTATAAATAGGAGCATGATAGTGTAGAATAATCATATCTAAGGACCAGTGGTGGGTTTCAAAATTTTTTGGAATCTCTTCTGTAGGTGTGGCCTGCTTTCTGGGTCCATTGGTGGAACCTATTCTAACCGGTTTGGTAGATTTGACGAACCGGTTCTACTGAATAGGTGCGAACTGGTAGGAACCCACCTCTGCAATGGATGTGTGCCTACATTACGAACATTGTATGAGAGTTTTGTGCCATTGGTCTATCATAGGGGTCGGCAACCTTAAACACTCAAAGAACCACAAAGCTCCTAACCAGAAGCCCCCTGTTCAATTTTGGAGCCAACCGGAAGTCTGGTTCCCCCACCATAGAGTCCCCTCCTTTTTCCTCAACCTGTCCTAACCGAAAGTCCTATCAATTATGGAGCTGACTGGCAACCAGGAGCCACAGCAGAGGGATGAAAGAGCCAGATGCGGTTCCAGAGCCGCAGGTTGCCAACCTTTGGTCTATCAAATTTCTCAATGAAACAGTTCCTTTCCCTAAGAAAAGTGAAATCACTAATTAAAAGATGACGGTTTGAGAATGGAGGATTCTAACTGGGCTTTGACATTGGCTTCCTTGAGTAGAGGGCTAGAAAGCCCATTTTGCTTCAAATAAAAATGCTAATAGACAGCCCTTGTGACATTTTCATCTTTCTCAGTGGCCACATAATTGTGTGTAATAGCTTGATCATGTCTTATCCCATAAAGCCAATTTTTCAATAGTTTCTAATTAGCCACTAATAGTTTGCAACTCAAAATGCTCAGTCATGGTTAGAGGACTGATGGGTATGGAACGAATTCAGTGAGTGAAAGTAGTTTTGAAAATGAAAGCCATTTGATAAACAAACCTTATTTCCATTATTTCCTAATAGAAGTTATTAAGAATTTTGTCAGGAAGATTACAAAGATTTAAAAGCACCCCTTCATAGTATTCATCACCAAGTTATGTGATGTTGCAGCGAAAAGAAAAGCAACCAATACATTTATTATGGGATATATGTTATCAGGCTGTAGTCCATTTTAGCAGAGGTATAAAGGATTAATATGAAGTCCTGTTCTTCAGTTCATTTTTTTTTTGAACAAAACATGTTGAAGCTTATCACCATAACAACAATTGCATTGTGAACCACAATTTTATAAGCGGGCATTTGTTGATTACGACTGCTGCTGTTCAAGCCCTATGCTTTATTTCCTTGTGGCGTCTTTATTTCTTTATATATCAAACTTCTTAACTAGCCACTTACTTCATGGAGGGGCTCTGGGCCATGTACAGTTTAATCAATATAATAAAACATTAAAATCGAATAATTTAAGATTAAAACATTTTCTTCAAAAATGTAAAGCAACATTGTAAAATTACAAAATATCCCATCCACTGTGAAGTCTTGCTTTAAAGGGGGAGAGTGAATTAATATTACTCAGGAATGTCCACTTCATCAGAAAATAGCATATCCTGGAGATTTTACCTAATTTGCACAATAATCTTGCAAACTGACATTCTGCTACTTGTATGGATTTATGATTTTGGCCTGATTGATAACATTTGTGCAAAAGCCGTCAATTGCTTAATGATGTTATGGCTCAAACGATGTAGGGGGTTGCAAAAGATACAACTTGCATCAGATAGCAATAGCAGTAAGACTTATATACCACTTTACAGTGCTTCACAGCCCTCTCAAAGCGGTTTTACCCACCTCGGAAGGATGGAAGATTGATTCAACCTTGAGCCCATCAGGATTGAACTGCTGGAAGTCAACAGAATTAAGCAATTG